CATCAAGCAACAGCTACAAAGCCTGGCTAGGAGCACCCCTTGTGCGTTTGCGGCAGTCGCTTGACGTGCACCAGTGTGCGCCAGCGTGTGGAAAGCTTCATTCAGGAGGAGAGGGCCTTGCAACCGCACTTACGCAAGGTAACCACAGTTTGAGGTGCCTGGTTTGTGTTTATAGATATCAAAGTGTTGTTCATGACCTCTGAAGTCATGCTTGCCACACTTTGCAACGTTGGTGATTTTTGAGAGTTGGCTGAAGAAGCACTGCTCTTAACCCTGCCTCACCCGCCTGCCTTTATGAATGTAATTAATAGATGATTAGCTCCGTCTAAACCTGAATGTGCCAAGCAATCACAATGCGAACATAGAAGCCATACACAAGGGATGTCCTAAACAAACCCATGCAGAATCAGAGGCTGGCACGACAAACACCGCTGTTTTCACAGCGCAAGGGTGGGTAGCCAACAAAAATACAAATGGAAGGAAGGCGTGCTTCCCAGCCCGGGTCATGCAGATGGTGGAGCCAAGATAAATCCCCGGTGTCGGAACCCAGGGTAATGTTCAGCAGACTCGGTCCTAGTTCCACAAGTGTTTCTTGTCCTTTGGCAAGGAGACGCCCATGGCGGTTAGCCAATGGGCCGCTTGTCAAGCATTTCTGATCTCTCAGAAGCCAAGCAGCCTTGTCCACGTTGAATAGCAAAATGCTTCTGTAGCTTTTGGCAGAAAGGTAGTGTTTCGTTTTTGGGTTTGCCAAAGGTGCCAGATTTTCCGTGCTATTTGTATGGTTGTGGCAAGGTGTGGCTGCCTGCATGCATGAGATAGGAATGTGGACATATTGGAAAAAGAGTCCAGGGCATCGAGGGTATTGGCCCAGGAAATGGAGCATTTGCTGCGGCATCCGCCAATTATGTGCGACATTTGTAACAAACAGGCAGGGGCAAATTGCGATGCACCTGTTACTAGTAGCTTCTTGTTACTACTAGTAAGGCACTTGTTACTACTAGCGATGCACCTGTTACTAGTAGCTTCAAGGCATGTCGTTAAGTTCAGGGGTTTGCAAGCAGTGCACCAAAGATGCTGGAATTACCCCAGTGGTTGCCAGTTATTCGTAAAGATTGTTCGTGTATTCAGTGGTAGATTGTTCGTATATTCAGTGCTGTGGTCACACTGTGCCCAGGTGGCCGCATCTTCAAAGGTTTGGACCTGCGAAAATGGGCGCCGCACGGTGCTCCACTCCGTGGCCTATGACGTGTGCCAGGCACAGGACCAGTGGTTCCTTTTCAAGAAGCAATTCGCCGCAGATGTGTGCCAAAATATCTATGTGATCGAGGACAAGTGACATGTCTATAAATATATAGTGGTCCCCAAATAGATCCCCACTAAAAATGTGTTGGAAACCGTGCCACTATCAATTTGGGGATCAATATAATAATCGAAAACAGTTGATTTTGAGCTGCAAATTTGAAAGATGCGAGGAATGACTGCACAGTTTTCACGTCGCATGGGAGTCGTTCCAAAACCCAGGCCCGTGTACGACCGAATTTTAGAAACACAATAACTTGTTCAATGACTCTACGTGGCTTAAGTTCTGCAATGCCGGCGCAAGGTTTCGCTCAGGGATGTATATTATGCTTATTGAACGGAATAATTCCATTGTACAAACTTACAAACAACACATTGCTTGGAAGGAGCAAAAACTCCCTGTGAAAGGGAAGCCAAACCCACATACTCTAGCAATATCTAGTAATTAGTACCACCACCCACAGCCCAGCACGCAAGCGAAGGCTTCCTAAACAGTTGCGCTTGAGGTGCTGGCTTGGAAAAGGGTAGTGGTCCAAGTAGCGTGTGTGTGACATTAAGGCGCTACGGGCCCTGCATGTTGAACATACATGAACTTTTTGCTACTAGGAATGCCAGGAGCTACTATCAGCTTCTCGTTACTACTAGTAAGGCACCTTGCTACTAGTAATTAGCTTCTAGCTACTAGTAGCGATGCTTTGTTTCTAGTGGCGATGCGCCTACTACTACTTAGAAAGTTGGCCCGCACTATGCAAAAGTTTCCACGCAAGGTTAGTGCAAGCTCCGCGCAAGTTCCGCACAAGGGCGGTGTAGACAAGACAGTGTTACCCACGGACATGTTGGCTTCTTTGGAGAAAGCCAGGAAGGAGCTTTGTTGGTTATCTTGCTTGCACTGCGAAAGGTTGCATTAGATCAAGGTTTGGCAAGTGAAGGCACACTGGCCACTGACGACACCTTCCAAAGCATTGTTTTTTGCAGGGTGGTTCCTGTGTTGTGCTTCTGAATGTACTCGATGCATGTTACACAATGTTTCACGTCAAAAGAGACTAAATTAAAAGATAATTCAAGCGTGCGCGCATCCGAAGCGGATAAGGTCGATTCAAGGCTGACGCAAGCGAGGGTTTTTGCGGCGAACAAGTTTTTGAGGTAACATGCCTTTCAGATGGCACATCGCCACCGCCACGGTTCCCCCAAAGTCCTCACACCAACCCTGCCACTCGAGTCCCGGAATATTGCCGCGCGTCAGCCATGCTTTGATCTCCACGCACATGGCCGAGAGCAAGCACCTCATGATGAGTTGCAGCCTCAGATTTCCAAGGTGCTGTGTAGAGTGCAACCGGAAGAAATCCGGCCAAGTGTTGTGGTATGGGGCAAGGGACTTGCCTGGCATTAATAAATCATGCACATGTGCGGTTTCTCCAAGCACCTTGCAGATCAACATGGTTGATGGTTGCCTTGCAGCAGTCGTTATTGATTCCATGCGCCGCATGAGAGACGTACTTCGGATGTCGATGGATGCTGTGTGTGTGATATGTGTATATATGTTGGAGCGTTCGAAAGACTCCTCGCAGCCATTCAGGCCTGACGCTGATGATGACAGCGATATCAACGAATGCAGCGATTTTATGTTTTCAGACGATGAATCTGATTCCAGCCCAGGCAGACGAGATATGCTGTTTCAGGGAAGTTGTTGACATTGGCCTATTTTTAAGCAACCAACATATATAATATGTCCGCAATTTCCGGATATCCTGGTCCTGTCAAAGGGTGACTTATATTCAAATACTATCAGTTTGCTGTCAAGGGCTCGTATGCTTCCTCTAGGGTTGCCAAAATTTGCAATATGACGCAATATGAAGATATTGCTGTGAAAGGCAAGAGCCACCTTTTGTGTAGGTTTAGTCGACTCTATAATCATGATTGATTGGGCAGTTTGTTGGTTTTTGTTTTCAGCTCTAGATTTGTCGGTGAGTGACAATATATTCAACATACAACGCCTAGGTAGTCACCTAGTGTATCCATGAGAGAGGAGGGCAGAAAGGAAAGACCAGCACTGCAGTGGTTCGTTTCTTGATCCAACTGGATTTAAGTGCTTATGCAGCAATGCTTGGTCTCCAAGACCCACCATCCCTCTCCAATATGGAGATGGCTACTGAATGGCTATTGCTCTCGTTACAACCTTGTTTTGTGTCAATAGTATTGAATGTATGATTTGACTCATGAACGCAAGTCTTTCTAAATTATTACAATCATCCTGTGGTAGACTACATTAAAGCAAGTCAAACAGTTGTTCCACTGTTTGCATCCGGCTCTGGATATCTCACATTCAAGGATCCTACCTACATTCTCAAACTAGACTTGCGTTTGACTTGCTTGACTTTTGACTTGCTTTTGCTTTTCCTCGTTTGAACGCCCTCACCTGCCTTTGCAAGGCAGTGACATTTCAGAGGAGATTGAACCGGGTGAAGCACATAGTCCATAGCCGCGGGCCAATGCCAGTTTTCCTCAGCTCAAGCGTCACGCCGGACCCCACTAATCTCCCAACTCACTCCACGCACAAGAGTTGGCCCTGCGAGCAATGCCTCGTTGTCGAAAGCCATGAAAGTGTAAGCAATTGATAGCAATTGCTTGGTCCGTTCTGCACCTGCATGAATGAACCTGCACCTTTAGCAAGAGATAGCAAGGGTAATTGTGTGTGTGTGTTGTGCTTTATAAATCTAACGAGTTGTTTGTCACTTTGTTTGCCCAACCCTAATTATAATTGAAAGATATTCAAAGGCTATGAAATGGCTTAAAGGTTCGCAGGAGCTAGAACAGCGGAGAGTTGCGTAACTCACCCTTACCGAATCCTTTTGCTAACAACGTGTTGTGTTCATTGCTTTTGGAGGCTGATCGTGCGATGTCAGGCGGCAACAAGGTGGTGAAGAGTCAATAGAGTTGTCAGTCCACTTGCATCAAGCAAGCAAAGTCGTCGATGTTTGGAGACACCTTGTTGACCACTTCAAAATGCAACGCTCGGACCTGGTCATAGGGTGCCTGGGCAGGGACCAACTAACTCTGTTACTCCAGATGAAATGTGAGATTCCATGTGGGTAGCATCAACACCTGTTGTGACATCTTAGACTTTTGTGACAAGCCCTTGCCGAGGGTAGCTGCTAATCTATGTCCGTTCGCAGAACAGGCCCTTTCGTTGCATTGGGCAACGGCTTAATCCAAGACTCCTGATGCAGGACACAGAAATTTGAAAAGAATACGCTGTGCGCTCTTCTTGACTTAGCAGCAAGAAGCTACTAGGGTGGAGGCCTTTCATATTAGGTTGGAGGCCGTCGTTGGAGGCCATCGTTACCAATAGTCCTATTTAGTAACACAACTTCTTTCTAGCCTGGCTTGACTAACCAGTTGGTGCTTTTGCCGGATCTGTCATTGCCTAAAGTGAACAGCTTGATTTGTTTTGACTTTGGTGGGAGACTACATGGTTTCAGAAGCTGATGTTGATTCAGATACGTTTCCATTTTTGCCAATGAGGGTATAATCTACTTTGAAAGCCAAGAGTCCCCACGTGTTCCTTGAAATTTGAACCACAAATCCGCCGCTTGAAGCTCTTGCCAATGGCTTTGCAAGCCACATCTCGCTTGGCAAAGCTGAGCCCCCTTCGGCCATGCCTGAGCTGCCGAGCAGCTCGAGCCCGTGCGTCCTCGACCTCAATGGCAGAGTCTCCACTGAAGCAAGCGGTCTTGACTGCTGGCAGTTTGGCAGCTGGACTGTCAGCACGACGGCGGAAAGTGGGCGAGGTCACTTTGGATCCACAGACGGCAGACTGTGCACAGGAGATACGAAATATGTTGAGACAAGACGATGTGAGCCCCGAAGTGGCTCAAGATGTGGTCCGGGCTTTGTCAGCTTTTGGGAAGATGAGGATTCTTCATACCCAGGTCTTGTACCTAGGTCATACTTTGCCACATTTTTTACTGCGTCACCATGTGTCACGTTCTTTAAAGAGTCCTCGATTCCAGTAGAAGAAGAACTTGAAATATGTAGTACAAAACATTGGTGAGCTCGGGTGAGCTATTCGACCTGGCATGAGCTGGCTGAGGAATGTTTTACGAGACCTGCCAGAAAGCACATGGAAAGAGAGCTTTTCTTTGTCGATGATGGTGGAGGCAATCTCGTCCTATGCCGAATTTCAGCTTGAAGATCCAGAGTTCAACCAAGTTCTGGCAGGTCTCATTGTGAGTCGAGGTGGGGGCTGGATCGAAGAGATGTGCTTGTAGTTTGTACATGTTGAAACACGCTTCTTCCAGTGGTCCCCAAGCTGCAGGCCTCAAACATGTGAAGGCTTTTGAGCTTGCAAAGCTTGTCTTTGCCGCTGCTTCCCTTGAATTGGGTGACTTTGAAGGGGTCTATGCCACATTTCTAGAGGCCTTCAGAAACACCGACATGAGTCTCAGCTCAAATATGCTTGCTGCATCAATGATTACAGACATGTTTCAGCAACACGCGATTGCATAAGAAAAGGTTTGGTAGGTGAAGTCCATTCGAGGGCCCTTCGGGCGTTTGACCAACCGTTTTTGCTCCCAGACTGCGACGTGTTTTTTTTTGGGATCATCCCATTGTTCAGTTCAGGACACGTTTGGGCAGCTTTGACCTTTGTCGGTGTCTTTGGTCCTTAGCAAGGCTGAGACCCCATACGGGCGGAGGAAAGCTGGTGGTTGAGGCCAAACCGTTGGCAAAGGCTTTGGCAAGAAAGCGAGGCATCTTGGTAGAAGAGGTTTTCCAGGTCAGGTGACTATCTTCAAATCTAGGGATGCTGACGTCATCAAGTCCAAACGTTTCTTCAATCTTCTGTGATTGCACAAAGACATAGCGCACGAATGCACAAAATCATACAAGATCCAAGTCTTACTGTAAGCCGAAAGTATAGTGTACTGAATACAAAGCAAATCTTGAACTATACTATACCATACACTGAGGTATTTTTGGACCTAGCCTGGCTCAAGCTGTGTGGGCTTTGCCCAGGCCATCAAATGCAGGGACAAGCTTCATTGAAACCGAAAGTTTCATGCCCTTTCCGTATCACAAAACGTCCTCAAGGGATCGTTGTTACAGGCAGAGGTGAAGGGGTTGGCATGTGGTATAGCTTTGGCATGTTTGGATCTCAGATGAGTGAGCTTTGGCTATGGATATTTGGGGGTTGACACGAATCAGAACCTAAACAACTCGGGTTTTACTCCCTTAGACAACAGTCTTTGCTTTGCTTCCAAGACTTAATCATTGATTGCCATTTCTTTGATCAGGCTAGGTCTTTCAGACGATGTGGAGAAGATTCTCGAGGCAGACGATTTCAGTCGCTATGATTCCGACTTTGACAGTTCAGGACCATAGGATGTACGTGATGCAGGGTTGTTGTTGCATGGCAATGTTCAAAAGCTTCTGCCTCACTCTAATTTGATGTAGACATCAACAATCTATGCGACCAAGGGGTGTCAGATAGTTAATAGCTTCCAGCGTTCCTTTCTGATCTTTATGTCCCCAGTTGTTGATTCTCAACTCGACCATCCACTGTTCTATGTTAGTATTAAGTGGCAGTGCAATGCTCATCCAATAAGGACATTTATGAACCGTTTCGATCATGCAAAGGCTGCTTCAGAGAAGCTGAGGGCGGGAGAAGTTTCCTGAACCCGAGCCCGTCTGCATTCTTGCAGGCGATAGCTACCTTGTTACTCGCTATGTTACCAGTTATGTTACCTTGCCCCCTCAAAGAAATTGACATTTCCAAGAGATCAGTGACATTTGCGTCAGCTTGTCAGGTTAGCAGCGGTGCAGTGCTTGCTCCTGGCGACCAGGCACAGCAGCTTCGGCGCCTGGCTGAAAGCTGTGAGAGCCCCGGTCTTCAGGCGCCCCGAAAGCTGTGAAGCCGTGGCGTTCAAAAGCTCCAGAAGTAGCTAAGGGGATTACTACCAGTAGCAGGAAGCTACTAGGCACAAAGGGCATCGCTACTAGGAGCAAGGACGCTACTAGGGGCTCCTGGCCTTACTACTAGGAGCAAGAAGCTACTAGTAGCTAAGGGTATTCCTACTTGTAGCTTCTTGTTACTAGTAGTAATGCCCTTGTTACTAGTAGCGATGCACTTGCTACTACAAACGGTGGACACCGGCTCCAAAGTCTCAAGGCAATGGGTCATTGTGGATTGGTGAAAGAGTTTTACTTCTCTTCGTTCCTTTTCTTGTTTGTTGTGCCACCACAAGAACGTATGTACAGTAAGGCAATTTATGTATCTTATCTTTCAATCAACGTTTTTGTCTCCTTTGCCACAGTGGAACTTCGACTGATAGACTTGATGTTATATTCTGTGCGGGTAGCAAGGAGCTATTTTTTCTTCCTAACCAAGCCGCAACTACCACAACACACAGGAGGCTTTGCAGCTTTTTTCAAAACCATTTCGACATTTGTGTACCCCAGTTGCACGAGATGCTTCCACTTCGGACAAGTCATATTCTGGGTTTTGAATAAACTGTTCTGTCATTTGTTGTCAAAGTTATCGTCTCACAAGGTGTCAATCTATAGTCCACCTAGGACCTATGTTACTTATTGCTGTTCAGACGGCCTGTCCAGCTTCAGTTGCGATTCATATCGTCAATTGATTGTTAAAGCAAACGCTGGCTTTTTACAAACCTTTCTGTTCTTGATCGTTTCTTTCCATTTTGATGACCGGCACTCCTGCATCATTTGATACATGATACATTGATATACATTGATATTCATTCATTCAAGGTAGGCAGGGTCGGTGATGAGGAATTATTTGATGTCATTCAGTTCACTCACTCCTTTTTAGCTTGAGGCTCAAGCCAAAAAGGAGTGTCGCTCCACAAGAATCAGTGTTGCTGATTCTTAAGATTTTTGTTGGTGCGAGCCATGGCTGCTGCAAATGCTCGACGCGCGGTTGAGCAGGAAAAGCTGCATACATGGTGTGCTCGAGTGGGCATCGAGAGCGCCAGCGATTTGGCATTTTGGTTCACCTCCTACGACCAGGCCCTTCATGAAGCAGGTCGTGCAGTAGCGGATGGGTGGGATCTTGCTCGCCGTGAGAGGGAGCCAGGGATGGCTGCCCTGGCTCGCAACCTTTTTGTGCGGGAGATAGTTTGTCAGTCCCGTCCGCCCCAGCCTTCTTCTGGTGTGGCTACCTCTTTGCCTTCCTCTTCGGTGGCCCGCTCTAGGCCGTCTTCATTTGCAGGGCCTGTCAAGCCCAAGAAGCAGTCAGCACGCCCGTCCGGCGACAAAGGGGGGATCGCCTCTTTGTTCATTCGAGATTTGTTGGGCATCACGGTGACGCTGATGCCACCACCGTTTGCCCGCCACGACCGTGGCTCTACACGTGTATTTACCTTTTTGGGCTGGATGATTCGTAATTTTTGTGTCCCACTGGATTTGAGTGAATCTTCAAAGCCTGCCCCTGTCCGGAGCACTCGGTTGGGACAGGGGCAGTCACAGGCGGCACCTCTGGAGCCTGGCATGGTGACACATTTGTTGGGAGTTTTGGAGTTTACAGTCGAGCATGCTCACTGGTCTATTTTGATGGCTGCCGCTGCTATGGTGTTCGGGCTTATTTGTTTTTGTCATGTCCAAAGGAGCTACTGGTGCGAACGCGGTCATCATGACTTTCTGGTGTTTCAAAGGAAAGATCGGCACTCGTGACAGATTCGCCTGGTCACTCCCACGCACATTGGGCAGTCTTGACCTCTATGCCATCTGGAAGCGGTGTTTTGGCTGGGCAGCATTTTGGTTTCTACAGCTTCAGACGTGTGGTGCCCACGTTGGCTGGTATTGTGCGGCTCACAGATACCGAGCGCCTGGCTGTCGGCCGATGGACGGATGCTGCTAGTGGTACTTCTACAGCACAGACTCCTTTACGATATGATGCACAGAAACAAAAACAGGGCCATCAACTTCGGCTTGCGGCATCGTTGTTTCTGGCCAGCGCACCCGAGGTTTTGTGGGAAGAGATCAAAAGTACCCCCGCTGTGGAGCGGAGGGCTGAGGCCATGGTGGCCGCCGACGAATTGCTGTCAGGGAGGGAACCCCCGGGTGGCTCGACTATCGTCGGAAGACATCCCTGGCATGCCTATGGTTGCCCGCCTCCCTGACCGTTATTCGTACAGCTGGGAAGAAGATCATTCGGGCTTGGCGTAAGCGGGCGGCCTCTACCTTGGTGCCGGGACCTTCATCCTTTCCATCGATGCCAAAGCCTACGGTGTCGCCACGACTGGCGCCTAAGCAGGCCGAGCCTCCCCTGCAGAGGAGACGCCTCCCACAGAAGACGGCGGCGCAGGTGTCTCCTGCTCCTGTGGTACTGCCTGTACCGGCCAGTCCGGCCGCGGTGGCTCCGCCTGCTCCTGCCAGGGGCCCGGGGACTCCGGTTGTGGCCGTCAAGAAAAAGCCGCAGCCGCCTGCTGCAAAGGCTCGACCTCCGCCGCCGGCGGGGCCGCTCAACGAGGTCTCCGACGCGATGTTCGATATCGCTGCTCGTGAACGTTGGGCACAACCTGGCTGCTGGGTTCAACGTTTTGGTCCGCTGTCAGGCCGGCGGGCACAGAGCGCCAATCCTCATGGCCATCCTCCTTGCCTGGCTCAGGCGAACCAACTTCGACCACGAGTACGACAGATTGGAAGGCATGAAGGCTGTAGATCGCCAAGGTGTTCTGAGACGGCGTGGCGGCGAAGCGCTGTTTAGTTGGGCACGTTCGAGCTGCGCAGGAAACCTGCCCCAGCTACCAAGGTACCCTGTCGTTTTTATCTGTTCAGCAAAGGCAGGGGCCTTACGGCATGTAGAGCGCGAAGGCGCCCCGTGGTGCCGTTGGAGACAGGCGTCTCCGGGGTTTCGTGGCGATACCCACCGTGCTGCATCGGTGCACGAGGCGTTGGGGTATGCGATCGCCAGATTTGCAAGTCCTGCCAGGCTGTGCTTCCCGGTCCGGACCGACGTGCACTGGCCTAGGCTGTACTAATAGTGAATTTGTGTCAAAGGGCGCACTGTCTTGTCCTGGGGACATGTGAGACCGGATGAGCGCCGATTTTGTGTTTACAGTTGTTCACAGTTGCAGCTTAGTTCATACCAAGTTCGATCGTTCCTCATGGACCGACCCCAGGCTATCCAGTGGGCGGCTGTTGCCATGGCGCCCTTGGACGGAAGCGCGGCGGGGCAAGGCAGTTGAGTTACGGGATTTGGGACAGCAGGCTCGTCTAGCCCTGGAGTCCCTGTCCCTTACTGATTCCCCCTGGCTGGGGGTGAGCTGGATTGAGTGGCGGGATGAGATTCAAGACATCCCTGTGGGAATTCGCCCAGCCTGAGCCGGAACTTCACTCATCGTTGGGGGCACGGCCGGTCAGGGGTCTGTTCCCCCCTTGCATACCTATAGTACGGGCCCTTTGCAGTGAGATATGGGAGTTGAATACCACATTGGCCCCGGATGAGCGACATCCCCTGCGTATGGTTTTGACGATGGTCCACGATGAGGTGGCACCGTTAACGACGCCCTGAACTGGGATGCTTTGCGCTGCCTGGGCTTGGAGCTCAATGAGTTGGCACCGCAGTTAGAGTAATGTGCTCATGTGGGGTTTTTGATAAAAGAGGCTCGAGTTCGATGGTGTGTGTTGGTTCTATAGGCCTCATTTTTCTGTGGTTGCATTTTGTATTCTTTTGGTGTGTTGCAGCTGTCTTCAAGTTTCAAGTATTCAATTCGATCTCGTCGGTCACTCATTTGAAATGTCGATCGTATTTTCTAAGCAGTTGCCTACATTTGATGATATATTCACGGCCTTGGCCGTATAGTTCAATGTCGATATTTGCATCAAAGACGAGATCCTCGAGTTGGGCATTCGCACATTGGCTGAGTTTCGCCATTACCCTCGGACTGAGGAGGAAGTCAAGTTTTTTTTGTGGATAGCTTGTTATTTTGATTGGAGGACAATCTCGCTCGCTTGCAGGTTGTTTGTCTTTGCTTTGAGAGGCTATGTTGGATGTCGAGCATGCGGCCGCTAGTTTGCCGCCCGCCCCTACCGAGGACGAGACCTTGTTGTCTACATTGGAACTCGGTTTTTCTTTTAAAGGAAGTTTTCTACAAGTGTTACCACCTCCGCCCGGAATCTCGCCAGTTCCCCTCGGACCGCTTGTTGAGCAAGCTGAGCCGCTAGTTGTACCAGGGGCAGTTGGAAGTCATGGATTTGTGGAGCGTCAGATCCCGGACGTTTCAGCGGACGCATGGTCAGAAGCGTCGCAAGGTGGGGGATGGTTTGTATTTTCAGGAGGATGACACTGAAGAGGACATGTCCAAAATTCGGTTGGCCTACCTCATGAAGCTCGAGACCTACCTGTTGGCTCTGGCTATTGTGGGCTGCCGGCCCTTGGATCCGCTGAAAGCCTGGTTTCGAATAGCTTGGACTACGTGCAAGTGCCCTATGATACTTTGTTTTGGTACTACGCCCTGTGCCAGGACCTGGTCTACCGCACGGCTGACTCGAAGCGCCTCAACGTGTTGCAGCACTTGGACGTCGAGGAGCGGGGGCAGTGGTCTGCCCGGACTGCGGTTGGCACGTCACTGGGATCGGTGATCCATGCAGTGCACCGCGAGCGTGACGCGCTCATGGATTGCGGGGGCCCGGCCGGGGCCGGTGGTGGGTGGTGGGGGGGGGCACCCCCACCCCATCCTCTGCGGCTGGGTCGCAGCAGGTGGACTTCGCCGGGCGGGCAGGTTCTGTGGTCCACAGCCTTCGAGATGGCACAGCTCTATGCAGTGATTTTCAACGTGGCCGTTGCAAGAACAAGCGCAATGAGTGACCCAAGGGTGTTCATCGTTGTGGAGTCCTTCTGAAGTCCGGCCGCGTTTGTGGATCATGGCAG